ACACACACACGCACACACACACACACACACACACACACGCACACGCACACGCACACACCAACACACAAGTTTTGGAGGTCGCGGCCTCGCGCGCAGCGACGAGGCGGATAACAAAAGGTACGGCGCCGAGGCCGTATCCGATGAGCGCGCGGGACGGCTCAGCGGGGGTGGGCAACAAATACCTATCCGGGCGTGGATGGCGAGGAGAGGGAGAGCAATGAACACCAACAAGCACATAGCCACCTGGGCGTGGATGAAAGAAAGAAGAGAGAACGCGCTGGCCGACACCCAGGGGACCGTCCCACCAGGGGGCGGCGCCGACGAGAAAACTAGGTGTGCAGGCCGACCATGTCGTCAAGCGGTGGCAATGGACGGGTGACAAAATGCAGCGGAACACGATCGCCTGGCTTTCCTCCCGTGAGAGGGTGAAAGGTCGCGGGAGGGACAACGCCTCTGGGATGACGCGGCGCCCGAGCCCCCGCAAAGGCGGAGGCGCGGGGTCGTCCTCGACCTGGTTGGCGGCGAGGAGAACTTGGACGGGGATGGAGCGGATGTAAAGGCTGATCAGTTGAGCAGAGATACATACACACAAACGCACACACGCAGGCACGCACGCACGCACGCACGCACGCACGCACGCACGCACGCACGCACGCACGCACACACACACACACACACACACACACACACACACACACACACGCGCGAACACGCAAACCACAACACACACACACACACACACACACACGCAAACAAACACACACACACACACACCACACACACCACACACACACACACACACACACGCAAGCACGCACTCGCGCACGCACGCACGCACGCCCGCTCGCAGGCACACACGCACGCACACACGCACTCACGTACACACAGAGTCCTGTACCAGAGGACCCAGCGGAACCCTAAACATAGCAACACCCACCACCCATCTCAAGATCGCGAGTGGCTGCCCAAAATCAGTCTGTCGGAAAGAACAACCGCGGAGAGAGGGAATCATCGGGACACATGGGCGGGACCAAAGTGACACAGAACCCTACCAGGATATCAATTTCGTTTTCGAATCGCGTCGTGTGTGACGCGCGTGCGTGAGAGGTGGAACTGCGCGAATTGTTGCACCAAGAATGCCCCATTGACGTAAAAAATGAGCCGGGTCCTCGCCGTCCAGGGTGTGCGAAGAATCGTCCCGTGGTTGCCCTTTGGTTGGCTCGTCGTTTTCCCGGGGTTGTCCCGCGGTTGAGCCGCGGTTGTCTCGTGGTTCGCCAGTGATTGCCCCGCGTGGATGTCCACTGGTTGGCCCGTGGTTGTCCCGTTGTTGTCCTGTGGTTGCCCCGTGGACGTCTCGTGGTGATCCCCTGCTTGTCTCGTGTTTGCCCCGTGAGTGTTCAATGGTTGCCCCGTGGTTGTCCGATGGTTGTCGCGTGGTGATCGCGTAATTGTCGTGTGGTTGTCCCGCCGTTCGCCCTTGTCGGTCCCGCGGTTGCCCCGCAGAGAGATAACACTTGATGTGACTGGTACATGGAAAGGGAGACCGATCGATACATTGAGATTGAGGCCGGTAAACAATGCGACCAATGGCTACAAACACATCTATAATCATCAGAGTGAAAGGGCTGAACCGAACGGTCATTCACTGTCCCAGGGTGCGTGGCTGAAGCAGACTTCCGCGATGCGGATTCTTGTTGCTGTTGTTGTTGTTGCTGTTGTTGGTTGTTGTTGCTGTTGGTGTTGTTGTTGGTTGTTGGTTGTTGGTTGTTGTTTGTTGTTGTTTGTTGTTTGTTGTTTGTTTGTTGGTTGTTGATTGTTGTTTGTTGTTTGTTGTTTGTTGTTTGTTTGTTGTTTGTTGTTTGTTGTTATTGTCGTCCCACCCGCGACCCGCCCCGCGACCCACCCGCGACCCACCCCGCGACCCACCCCGCGACCCACCCGCGACCCACCCCGCGACCCACCCGCGACCCACCCCGCGACCCACCCGCGACCCACCCGCGACCCACCCGCGAACCACCCCGCGACCAGCCCGCGACCCACCCCGAGACCCCCCTGGCGACCCCCCCGCGACCCACCCGCGACCCACCCGCGACCTACCCGCGACCCACCCCGCGACCCACACGCGACCCACCCGCGACCCACCCCGCGACTCACCCGCGACCCCCTGCGACCCACCCGCGACCCACCTGCGACCCACCCCGCGACCCACCCGCGACCCACTGCGACCCACCCGCGACGCACCCGCGACCCACCCCGCGACCCACCCAAAATTTTCGGCGCCTGCGGCGGGTTTCTATTGCATTCGTTCCAGGTGGGGAACCTGCGACCCACCCGCGACCCAAACCGCGCCCGCGACCCACCCCCGACTCACCGCGACCCCCCCGCGACCCACCCGCGACCGACCCCGCGACCCATCCAAAATTTTCGGCGCCTGTGGCGGGCTTCTTTTGCATTCGTTCCAGGTGGAGAAACTGCGACCCACCCGCGACCCAAACCGCGTTCAGTGCACAAATCAAAATTTTCGGCGCCTCCGGCGAGCTGTTTTTGAATTCCTTCCAGGTGGAGGTGGAGAGCCCGCGACTCACCCGCGACCCGAACTACGTTCACTGAACAAGCCAAAACTTCGGCGCCTGCGGCGGGTTTCTTTTGCATTCGTTCCAGGTGGAGAACCTGCGACCCAAACCGCGTTCAGTGTACAAATCAAAATTTTCGGCGCCTGCGGCGGGCCATTTGTAAATTCCTTCCAGGTGGAGGTGAAGAGCCCGCGACCCACCCGCGACCCAAACTACGTTCACTGAACAAGCCAAAGCGGACGAGGAAGAGGAGGAGGAACAGCAGGAGGAGGAGGAGGAGGGCGCCATCGACAGGGAAGGTGAAGGCCACGAGGTCCGACGAGGTCCGCCGGCTCGACGCCCGCGTCGCCCGCGCCCGCCCCCTCACTCTTATCCGCAATTGCGGGGTGCTACCTAATGGCATCGATTGTTCAATTGTGGGGCCGACCCAAACTGACCTACATCGATGGATTCAGAATGGAGATCGGGAAATAATTGGGCGTGCTGTGGCTGTCCCATGAGTGTCCTGTGGTTGCCCCGTTGTTGTCCCGTCGTTGTCCCGCAATTGTCCTATGTCCCGCGGTTGTCCCGTGGCCGCTTCCAGAAAGTCCTACTGTTGTCCCTTAGCTGTCCCGTGTTTGTTCCGTCGTTGTCCCGCGGTTGCCCTGTGGTTGCACGTGGGTCGTCCCGTGGTTCTCCCGCGGCTGTTCCGCCCAGAGATCCGCCATTGTGCCCCTGTGGCACGAAGTGGAGTGTCCCCCGGTCCCTTGCCCAACACGTGAGCCGCAGTCCTCAATGTTGGGGATTATTGTACGGGCCTGGACCCCAAGTTGCCAAATCTTCTGGGGCTCCCCGCGTGCCTGTGGGGCCCCAAGTATATTGTCGCGTGACTGTTCGGGCCCACGAGGACACCAAGGAGGGCCAAGAGGGCCCCAAGAAGCCTTCCAGACAGTCCAAGAGGGCAGCGAATCGCCGAACGATCGGTCCAAGACGCCCGGCCGAAAAAGCGCCAGAGACGCCCAAAGAAGCCTCCAAGGGCACCCCCACCAGGAACCCGAGAGGCAACGATTATTTTTCATCGTCCGTAGCTTTCTCATCATTGCGTGGGTTCTCCACTTCTCAAGCTTCCGACGCTCCGAGACGTCCCAAGAGGCCTCCAAGACTGCCCCAAGACGGCCCCAGCTGCCCCCAAGAGGGCCCAGGGGGGGCAAGGGGTAATTAAAACAGGGCTAGGATCGGGATAAATCGCTCCAGAGCGTTCCGGAGCGCTCTCAGAGCGTTCTGGAACGCTCTGGAGCGGCCGCGGCGCCCAATACATCCTCCAAACCCGCCGATTCTCAGATATTTCGAGTCATCCCGATCCGATTTTGTCCCGATCTTCGCGTCGTTTTAGTAATCCCCCCGTGGATCGGGAGAACTGGAGCCCCCCCCCCTCCCCCACCGGCCTCCCCCATGGACAGGGGGGGGCAGGAGGGTGGTCCCCCCTGTCTCCTGCCGGGAGGGAACTCAAGACCCCCGCCCACTCTCTCCGCCCTGTGGACAAGGAGGACAGAGGAAGCTTCCCCCTGTTCTTTTTGCAAACAAGGGGGCCACCCCTTCTCCTCCCAGAACCCCCCCCTGGAGGCACCCTCCTCACTCGTATCTGCTGTTGCTGGGTGCTGCTCACTGCCCCACATGCCTCCAAGAGGCCCGAGGTTCGCTCCAAGGCGGCTCCACGAAACCACGGAGCGTCCCAAGAAGTCCCCCAAGAGGCCCTCCAACAGGGCTCAAGAGGCTCCCAAGAGAGCCCCACGGAGGGTCCAGAGCGTCAGCACCGTCGTCGACGCCGCCGCCGTCGTTGACGTTCTCAAGGGTGGCATCGGCCGAAAGGCCTTCGCAGCATTCCTTGTCGATGTCTTTACCCGTCCCCTCCAAACCAGGACAGTGCACGCTAAAGAACACGCGCCACCGCCACCATATGTAATGTGGTAGTGTGATAGTGGTGAGCGGGGAGACGGGTAAGTACAGGGCAGTGTTTAATACATAGGGTATTTAAAAATATAGGATTCTGATATATGATTAGTTTATGAATAAACTTATGCATGAGCCCCTCGTTGTTTTTAATACTAAACCCTGCATTTTGAATACATGATCCGCACGCGGAACATGTATTAAAAACGGCACTGTACAAACACGGAGTGAGCGAGTGTGAAAGAAAGAGAGACAGAGAGAGAGAGAGAGAGTGAGAGAGAGAGAGAGCAAGCGAGAACTGTTGGCGATCGTCGCCGCGGACGGATCTGAAAGGGGGACACTGCACCAAGATGCAAGTCCGATGGCCTCGTGGCTGCGTCTTGCACGCAACCGATGTCTGGACAAGAAGCGGTAGATAAGAAACGATTAACGGGGGTTGAGCGAGTTGCGTAGTAGCGCTGTGCCACGCCTGTACAAGCGGCACGAAGATACTGCGCATCACGACTGCGCAAAGATATATTTTACCATCTGGTAGAAGGAGTCCCCCTTCTTCAGCAGCCGGAAGCCTGACACCCCCTTTGCTGCTCTAGCCTTCGCCGTTGCCTGCGCCCACCTGTTCGCCTTCCCCAGCCTGTGCTTCCTCAGGCTCACGATCTTCCCGCGCTTGCCCCTGGTCAGGTCCTCCCTCTTCAGGCCGGAGCTGGTCTTGAGCTTCTTTCCCTTGTAGACCTGCGCCTTCAGGATAACAGCATCCGCAGAAGCACACACTTCTGGAAGCCCGCGCGGATTTCTTCGGCCAGCGCTGGATACTCCTCCTCACACCTCTCCGGGAGAGCGCTGGGGGAGTCCATCGTCGACCAAGGAATATGCGCGGACCTCAGAAAACTACTGTTCATGTGTACGAGGTCGGGATGTATACACATCCACCGCCTGAGAGACCAATCTCTGCCAGGGTACCAGGGAACGGTGGGTATGGACACGTAGGGGCCCAAGGGTCCTAACATGCAAGCCAGCACGGACCCGTAATTGTGATTTCTTACAGTCTATGTCTTGCAATCTGGAGTGGTGCAATCCATGTGGTGCAACTTGTGCGGTGCAAAGCAATTCAAAGCAACGTAAACACTGCAAAGCAATGCAACGCAAAACACATCAGATCAATGCAACACGATGCAAAGCACTGCGACGCAATGCAAAGCCAGGCACAGCCATGCAAAACAACGACAATGCAACACAATGCAATGCAAAGCAACATAATGGAATGCAAAAGCATGCAACGCAATTCGAAACGATGCATGGCAACGGAACGCAGCGCAATGCAAAGCAATGCAAAACAGTGCAAGGCAATGCATCGCAACGCAAAGAAACGCAACACCATGCAGGGCAATGCACAATGCAATGCAGGGCAACGCACAAGAATGCAAACCAATGCAGAGCAGCGCAAAACGATGCACCGCCATGCAACGCAAGGCAAGGCAAGGCCATGCAACCACTGCGACTCACGGAGACGGCCGCGACGCCGGGCAGCAGCGGGCGGCGACGAGCTGACCCGGTCGGCGCCGGGGCTGAGCGGCCCGCGGCGGCGGCGGCGGCGCCGTTCGGCGGCGAGCCGGCTGGGGAGGCACTCGGGCCCAGTTACCATCGGCGACGGCGGCGGCAACGGGCGGCGACCCGCCTGCAGGGTTGGCACCTAGGCTCAGTGGCCTTGGAAGGAAAATGAGAACCACGAAGTGCAGGTGCTGATTGGGGCGTACATGTGTAGAGAGAGGGAAAGAGAGAAAGAGAGAGAGAGAGAAAGAGAGAGAGAGAGAGAGAGAGAACAAAACAAAACTACCTGCGCATATCTATACATGGGTGTGAAGATGTGTTGGCCAGCGTGGGCCCCTGACGGTGTCTAGCAGTATACGTTGCGCAAACCAGGTGGGACAATACAGTGAGGGTATTGACCTGAGGAACTATACATAAGGAGCGAAACCCTTTTTTTCCAAGTAAGCCCATGAAGCCAGAAGGAACGGCCGAGCCCCTTTTCATGCAAGCCTAAGGAACGACCGAGCCCCTTTTGAAAAACAAGCGTTCCTTATTCAAGCCGTTCACTGTACATGTGGTGGAACTGGTTTTAACAAACGATCTGACACACCCCATGCCCTTGCAAACGTCCCGCCCGCCCACCCGCAACCTGGTTGTCAAAATCCACGCGGCGGCGATTGCGATGCATGCTTGGCGTTGGCGGGTGCGTCTCTGCGGCCGCGCCATCCCTAGCCGTGCGCGCAACGGCCAGCTAGTTTGGTCCCACCGACGCAGCCGCGGCGGCGCTGACCGCATGGCGCACCCCAGCGGGCTCTCCCCTTTGAATCGGCGTCCGTGGCGGGCGCGGTATCACGGCAACGCCGACAACGGTCGGTAGACACGGTGATGATAGTAGCGATGCTGGTGGCGACGTTTGCACCGACGAAAGAGCGGCCAATGCTGGCGCCGATGCTGATGACGCCGACGACGATGACGGCGCCCTCGCGTCGGTGGTGGAAGTTTTGGTAAGAATTCGACGTGCGCGCGCGGCCGGTGTGCGCGCGGCCGACGCGCCCGCATGGTTTTCTGTGACACTGATTGCGCCCCCCCAGCACGCGCGCACAGGGCGCGCGAATGGTGCCGGCATGCGGCGCCAAAGGCCTGTTTGGCAAAATGCCGTGCAACAGATGACAGACCTAGTTTTTTTAAGGATTCGCAGGAGCGCGCGCGCAAGTTTCGTTTGAAAGCTGATGTTGCGAAACCAAATGTTTTGGAATGTTATTTGGGCACTCGGTGTTGAAATTGCTACGAAACCGAAGGTGTGTTGGGGGATTCCGGCATGCGCGCGCAAGGACGCACGAGTGCGCACTTCGTCCCACGTGTTGCAAAGGATTATCGCGACGGCACGCGCGCAAGGGCGTCCGAACGACTTCGACATGAACGCGCGCGAAGCCAGTTTGGTAGCATGTTCAGAAAAAGGTTCTTCTTCAAGGAATTCGCAAGAACGCGCGCATTTTTTGTTTGAAAATCCGTGCAGCGAAACTATGGTTTGTCAGATGGTTTTTCGACACTCGGTTTGGTCATCCTTCCGAAACCGAAGGTGTTTGAAAAAGTTCGGCATGCGCGCGCGACGACGCGCACGTGCGTAATTCGTACCATCTGCTGCAACGATTTTGTCAAAACTGATTATTGTCATGCGCGGGTGCGCGCGCATAGTACTTCTGCAGGAGATGAGGGGGGTCGAAACCGGCTGGGCTGGGATGAGATGGTTCATATCTAGGATGAACGATGGGGCAAAAAAATATGCACATTGCAAGGCAAAAAGGTGGACCGATAAAGCCGGGAGGGTGGTGGATCCGACTCCTGGTATAAAAATGAGAATTCCTTTTTTAACATAATAGATGGCACACCCAACGCTCTTGCAAACATCCCACCCACCCACCCGCAACTTGGCTTTCAAAACCCATGCGGTGGCGATTGCGATGCATGCTTGGCGTTGGTTGGTGCGTCCCTGCGGCCGCGCCAACACTAGCACGCGCGCGCAGCGGCCAGCCAGTTTGGCGCCACCGACGCGGCCGCGGTGGCGCTGACCGCTGGTGGCATCCCACATGGAACTTCACTGCGAGTCGGCGACTTGGGCGGGCGCGGTATCATGGCAAGATGATGATAGCGGCGATGCTTGTGACGACTTTTGCACCGACGAAGGCCAGGCCAGTGCGGGCGCCAATGCTGATCACGCCGACGACGATGACGGCGTCCTCGCGTCGGTGATGAAGGTTGTGGAAAGAGTTCGACATGCGCGCGTGGCCGACGCGCGAGTTGCCCGCATGGTTATTTTGTTGACACGCATCGCGCCCCCCCCCAGCACGCGCGCACGGACGTGCGAATGATGTCGGCATGCGGCGCCAGAGGCCCATTCGGCAGAATTCCTTGACAAAGATCCGCCAGAACGCGCGCGCAAGCTTGTTTCGAAACGTGGTGTTGCGAAACCATACGTGTTGGTGCTGTTCGTTGTGGACACTCGGTCTTGGAACCGCTACGCAGGCGGAGGTTTTTGACGGATTCCGGCATGCGCGCTGCGCGCGCGACGACGCGCACGCGCGTGCACCTCATTTCATTTGATGCCAAGGGTTCTCGCGACGGCACGCGCACAAGTGCGTTCGAACGATTTCGACATGCGCGCGCGAGCCATTTTGGTACTATGTTGGAAAATACAGAAAAACAGTATGACAATACTGAAAAACCGGAAGCTGTTCTTAAGAATTCGCAAAACGTCGCACGAATTTGCAAGAACGCGCGCGCGCGTCCTTTGAACATCCGTGTTGCGGAACCATGTGTTTTTACATGTTGTTCTGGAATCTCGGTTCTCAGACCCTTTCGAATCCGACGTTTTTTGAAGGATTCCGGCATGCGCGCGCAACGACGCGCACGTGCGCACTTCGTCCCATGTTTGATGTGGGTTTTTGAAAACTAATGATTTGTGAAAAACAAATGCGCGCGCATAGTATTTTTGGCGGAAGATGACGGGGGGGGGTCGATACCGGCTGGGCTGGGATGGAATGAGTTCAAATTTAGGATGGACGATGGGGCAGAAACATGTGTAAATTGCACTAAGAAAAAGGGCACTGATAATCCCAGGGAGGGAGGGGGTAGAGTCTATATCTTCTGAAAGAAAGGATCATCTATGTTGTGCAGTCTCTGCGCTACAATATAGTTTGGTGGAATCAACGTGGTGCAATATACGCGGTGCCATATATATGTGATAAAACTGATGTTCGATTGTCACCCATGAGTCGGCACACCCAACGCTCTTGCAAACATCCCACCCACCCACCCGCAACTTAGTTTTCAAAACCCATGCGGTGGCGATTGCGATGCATGCTTGGCGTTGGCTGGTGCATCTTTGCGGCCGCGCCAACCCTAGTACGCGCGAGCAGCGGCCAGCTAGTTTGGCGCCGCGGACGCGGCCGCGGTGGCGCGGACCGCGGACGCGGCCGCGGGCACCACACTGCGAGTCGGCGACTTGGGGCGCGATATCATTGCAACGCCGACAACGGTAGGGACAATGATGGTAGTGGCGTTGCTGGTGACGATGTTCGCACCGACGAAATCACGACCAGTGCGGGCCCCGATGCGGATCACGCCGACGACGATGACGGCGTCCTCGCGTCGGTGATGAAGGTTGTGGAAAGAGTTCGACATGCGCGCGCGGCCGACGCGCGAGCGGCCCGCATGGTTATTTTCTGACACGCATCGCGCGGCGCCAGAGGCCCATTCGGCAGAATTCCATGAACATGTGGAGAAAACCCTTCTTTTCTTACGCAAGAGCCCGCGCGCAAGCTTGTTTTGAAAACTGATGTTGCGAAGCCTGTTGTTTTTGAACTGTTGTTGGACATTCGGTTTTGAAATCGCTACGAAACCAGAGGTTGTTTAAGGAATTCGGCATGCGCGCGCGACGACGCGCGCGTACGCACTTCGTCCTTTTTTTGCAAAACGATTCTCGCGACGGAACGCGCGCAAAGGTGTTCGAACGATTTCGACATGCGCGCGCGAAGCTCGTTTGGTTGTATGTTCTGAAAATGATGAAAAACTAAGGTTTTCTAAGAATTCGCAAGAACGCGCGCGCACGCATTGGTTTGAAACTCCGCGCTACGAAACCATGTGTGTTTTATACATTGTTTGGACTCTCGATTTTGAAATCCTTCCGAAACCGACGGTTTTTGAAGGATTCCCGAATGCGCGCGCGACGGATGCGGATAAGAGTGAGGGGGCGGTGGGGACGTCGGCAGTTTGCGAGACTCTTGAGAAGCCCGCCGCAGGCGCCAAAGTTTCACAAATTATACAAAGAGCCCGCCGCAGGCGCCGATTTTTTCGTTGTGGGTAGGTCGCGGGTGGGTCGCGAATGGGTCGCTGTTGGGTCGCTGTTGGGTCGCGGGTGTAGAGGGCAGAACATCCACCCCATAATAATCACCCCGACAAGCGAAGCCGTCTAGTAAACGCACACCAGGAATGCATCGAACAGGGCAAGGCTGTTTCGTAAACGCCCAGGGCCGTTTAATAAACGTCAATCGTCGGGTCGGGGTGGTTTGACATCCCTTGAGGGTGGGTCGCGGGGTGGGTCGCGGGTGGGTCGCGGGGTGGGTCGCGGGTGTGTCGCGGGGAGGGTCGCGGGTGGGTCGCGGGTGTGTCGCGGGGTGTGTCGCGGGGTGTGTCGCGGGGTGTGTCGCGGGGTGGGTCGCGGGTGGGACGACGACAACAAACAACAACAACAACAACAACAACAACAACAACAACAACAACAACAACAACAACAACAACATCAACAACAACACCAACAACAACAACCACAACAACATCAACAACAAAAAACAACAACAACCACAACACCAACACCAACAACAACAACAACAACAACAACAACAAGAATGCAACAAGCAGAATTCTCACCACGAAGTTCCCATTCAGCCACACGCCCAGGGACACTGAATGACCTCACTCTGGTATATACACATACAGATCTTCGCACCTACAGATCAGCCGCCTCCCGGGGTCCAGAACGATCGGCTCCCCGGGCGGTGGACGTGCCAATCCAAACCTCGGGATGCAGCTTCATGCCCTTCGAGCCTTCGCCCCCTTTCCCCTCGCAACGGCCGATGCCTTGCCCTTGGCCCACTTGGCCTTGCCGGGTCGGAGGAAAGCAAGGGGGCGCCGGGGGCTGGCACAGGTGGGGCTACCGAATCACCCCACGTCCGGTTCGGAGGCCCCAGGCGGTGCGATGCCCACACCGCGTGGCGAGCCAGCAGGGGCTCGGGGTGACCGCACGGTTTTGGCGCCGGGTCGGTTTCCGAAGACGACGCGGGCGACTGGGGCCTCTCCAGGGGGGCCGAAAAACGCTGCGGGGGCAGGCCGGGGTCACCGCACACTGTGTCACCGCACCGTTCCGGGACCTCCAAGTGGCTCTCCCGGCAGCTCCAGGCGCCGAAGGCGCCCCAACGCATCGAGGAAAGCCCAGGGTGGCTGGGCCGATGACCAGCTGCGTGAAATAGGCTTCGTGCGTAACCTGAGGGAGGACGACAGCGGGGGGCCAGCTCAGGGAGAGAAAGCATCGAACTTGAACCCGCGATACATCGCCGATACAGCGATAGCGAAACCGGACGCTGCTAGGCTGGAAGAGGGGGCCCGGGCCTGGACTGGCGATAAACGGCGATCAGGGGTCGATGCTCCCGCCAGGCAAATCGGTGTCTCCTGGCTTTCGTGCCATAGCTCAGCTCTATGGTGGCCGCTCAGGACGATCCAGGCACCCCCAGAACGCGCTCGTCGCGGCGCAGCTGCTATAGAAGGCATCGAGAGGCTAAAGAGATGCCGAGAGGCCGAGACCGGACCAAAGCGCCCGAATACCTTGACTGTTGAGCCCGAAGCTTTTCACACCTCCTGGAAGCTGAGAAAATGAGGACCATGACCAAGACTCATCGCGGAAACGTCGGTGTCGATCCTGATTATCGTCCATCTTGGTTACCGTCAACTCGTTTATCACCCTCGCGAGTCTTCGACGGTCGGTACGGGCTATCGCCAAGATCGGCATGGACAAGACCCCGCGCCATCTGGTCATGGTCATGCTCCGAGGCTGGAGCAGCCGCCGAGAACCAGTTGGAACGCCCGAACACCTCGAGCATCGAACCCGAAAAGACTCCCGATTCTGAGGTGAGAAGGAAACATGTATACCGATACTTCCTACTCTACGCACCTCTCCTGAAGCGCGCTCTGACCAGCATCACGAGGAGAAGCCAGGCGCGGCGACGAGGGCACCCCGGAACGAGCCAAGGCATCGGTGTCACCCCGTCCTCAATTCCCCCCGATTGGTGTTGAGCAGGGACCGACCTTCCTGACACTCCTGCAGGCCTACCATGAAATCCTACCAGCCCTTTAGGGCGTGAGTGGTTTGGAGCCTTTCCTCTTCCTGCCCTATTTCTTCACATTCGGAGAACGGCTTATCCCAGTAGAATACTATGTAACATCCACTCTGGGCCAAAACTCGGGCCATGTTCGGGAGGCGCGAGCACTTTGTATTGTTTTTGTACATCGGCGGCGGGGGTGCCCGCAGCATCCCTGTCAAAAACAATACAGACAACCACATCGAGACATAATCAGGACCATGGGCGGGCACCCAGCGATCGTTGTGCATTGGTTTTCGACAAGGGTGGCGGGGGTGCTGGCGAATGGCCTGCCACGTGCAGGCCCACAAGACGCTACGATGGCCACCCCGCCGCGATTGCGCACCGGTTTTCGGCACGGGCGGCGGGGGGCGACACGACTCACAGTGTCGCCATCGCTCGGACGTCCATTCCCTTTTTTTTATTGGTTTCCTGCGTGGTTTTTTCGCCAAATGATCGAGGATGTTCCTCGATGGCCCTCGCCGAAGGAAAAAAGGCACACGTCCGAGCGATGCCAAGCACCTGGCACGCTCTGAGCGGGCCCCAAACGTGGCGCACCCGGCGCGGCTGGAGCGTGCGGCGCACGACGTAGCGCACCTGGCGCGCCAGGCGTGCAGGGCCCGCTTGGGCCACACGGGTGCCTGGCGCACCCAGCGCGCGTGGCGCGCCGGGCACGCCTGGCGCACCTCGCCCTAAAGTTGCGCACGTGCGGCCTAGTTTGAAGGGGCCCTGGGACACACAAATAAATGCACACAAATAAAAGGATTCCCCATATTTTCCCGAATTTTCTGCGTTTCCGTCTTCCCCCCCACTTCCCATATTTTCCTGGGAGTCGACGATTAATTGTGTCTGTGAGTTTGTTCCCCTCCTGATAGTTTCGTTCCCATTATCCCAAAACTACCACTGAACACGCTGCGGTTCGGATGCCACTTCTGTGCTGGGAAGGCGGGTGGGAGTGGGCGAGGTGGCTTGCGGGCGGGGAAGGTGTCTTGATCACTGCTCCTGATTAACAACACCCCCTCCCGGACTTTGGGCCAACCCGGGACCTGCCACCTCCCCCCCCACTATCCCGATCAAAAAACAATACAAAATGCACCCTGCCTCCAACTCTCCAGCATGCGAGGGTGCCCCGCGACCACTCTGCATTGGTTGTTGACAGGGACGGCGGGGGTGCTGGCATGCTGTTTGTTGCGCACAAGATGCGCGCAAGCCGACCGACCCTGTCAACAAAAGCAATACAGAATACACTTTGCCTCCAAATCCAGAGCATGCGCGGGCGCCCCGCGACCACTCGGCGGGCGCCGCGAGACCACTCTGCACTGGTTGTTGACAAAGATGGCGGTGGTGGTGGCATATTTCTTGAATCGCGCAGGCCAACCATCCGCCAAAAACCCATACAGAATCCTCGCACGCACTGCGTGCGCCGAGCCGTGGCGTACCTGGCGCGGCTACAGCACGCGGCGCGCTCGGCGCGTGTGGAGCACGTGCTGCACTTGCCGCGCCTCGCACGCTCGGGCCTCCAGGGTGCCCGGTGCACCTGAACCCGTGGCGCACATGGCATGCATGGCGCTCGTCGGCGATGTGCTGAGACTCGGGTACTACTTACGTGTTGGGAGGGCGGGTGGGAGTGAGCGAGGCGGCTTGCGGTTTTGGAGGTGCCTCGACCCCTCCTCCTGCCCCCACTTCCTGGACCTGGACGGGCGGGGGCAGCGGGAAGTTAGAGCGTAAGATGGCCTCGGCGAGAAGGCCAAAACAACTGATGCTGCTAAGGTTTGGGGCCAAATTTGGCCTCCTCGGGGGGGGCCCTAATTGGGACCCCCCCTCTTTGATCGATCACCTCCAAAATGGCCACAAGATGGCCCCCGAGGCTCGCAAGAGAGCCCCAAGAGGGGCCCAAGAGGCGCCCAGGAGGTCGCAAGAGGCCCCAAAGATGCCCTCAGATGCACCCAGAAGGAGCCCAAGAGACCCCCAAGAGACCCCAAGAGGCTCCCCCGATGCACCCAAGACGCTTCAAGAGGCCCCCGGGACCGCCAAGAGGCCCCACGACGCCCAAACAGGCCTACAAGAAGCTCTCTAGCGACATCCGAAGAGACTCCGAGAAGCATCCAAGAGGCCGCTGGCCTTTCTGCTCGTCCTTCTACCCCTATTCTCCTCCTCCTCCTCCTCCTCCTCCATTTTTCTCTCCTCCCTCCTCAACCTCCCCCTCCGCCTCTCCTCCGCCTCCTCCAACCCCTCCTCCTCATCCTCTGGTTCATCCTTCATCCTCCCCCTCTTGGGGTATGACGGCTTCCCAGCCTTTATTCCACCGCGTGCTCCCCCACATGCCTGATCAAGGCAACTCGCCCAGGCATCGTTTCTGGATGGGCTGGCGGGGTTACTCAAAACGTTTGAATGATCTTGGAACAAAAGAAAATTCAAAAAAGTCAGAGCCCTTTACCATACAAACGAAGACTGTGTCAAGCAAACATGTTAGAAGAGCATTCCGTGCAAGCCGAAGCACGCTTCTAGACAAGTGCTTGGTGCACCTATAAGCAGGTCAGGACGCTTCGCCACTGCTTGCGAGCAAGACGTACACCCACGTCCAGTGCACGTTTGAGTTTCGGGTTCCCCTTCCCAGACACCCGAGACACAGTGGACATGGACAAACATCTGGCCCCTAGATGTCAGAGTCTTCATTCACATCCCCTGCGATTCGGCCCACTGGGGCCCCTCCCCAGAAAATCCAAGACGCCGTGGACATGGATACCGCGGGTTCGTGTCGTGTCAATCCCAGCGTTGGCTCCTGGCACCGCGGGCATCGTTGAACCTTGAACGAACGGCCGTTTCCAAAACGTCAGATCGATTCACATCGACCGATTCTAGGTCGCCGGTGGGGCTCAGCGTTGAACGCCAGCGGCGGCGTCGCCGCAGGTCGACACGACGCGAATCGAACCGATTGTATGCGGTATGCGATATAGATCTTGCCCGCACTGCTCTTTAACTGTGACATAACAATGCAAATTCAGAAGTCCGCGCGGACTTCTCGGATCAGAGCTGGACCCCCCTCCCTGGCGCGCGGAACGCGCCAGAAGCGGTGCCGCCAGGGACTTTCGGCGCCGATCCGAAAAAAATGCGCGAACATCCGAGAGCGTATGCTTATGTCATTGCTTGTTCCCCGATGCTTGCGCCCCAAACATGCGACGGTCAGTTGTTCTTAATTTATACGGCGTCCCCGAAAGTCCCGACCCTCTCTCCAGGACCAGTCTTTCGTCCTAGGTTGTTTTGTTGACTGTCCTGGGGCCCTGCGAGGGCCCCCAGCGGCCACAAACGACGAAAGACCTGCCGTCCTGATTTTGTCCACGACGCGAGAACGTCTGGGTGTAAATCTTGTCCCCGCTGCTTGTTGGCGGCGGGTAGGGGGAGGGGGGGAGGCTTCTTAGAAGGAGGCTGCCTCTTAGAAGGCGCCAGCCCTACATCAATACAAGGCCCGCGCCTTCCAGAAGCAGGAGTGCTTCTAAGAAGCCTTCCCACCGACCCCTCACGCGCACGCGCGTAGCTGATTGGTCGTGATTCGGGAAACGAACAAGGTACTGATACCGCTATTCCCTGGAACTCTCCTGGGGTGCGTTCTGTCCAGAATTTCGAGGAGAGCCCAGCGGTGGCGACGAGGGCCTCCCAGGAGGCCCGACCAAAGAGGAGGACGGGGCAAGGGCAGTGTGGTATACGGGCGCACCTTCCTCCTACGAGTCGCGATCAGTGCACTTCTCCCCTCCACGATCCCCTTCCCGGTCCGCCCTCTCTAGGGGGAAAACAAACCTACTTCGCTTTTGACCGCCCTCGCTTCCAAGAGATACCAAGCGATGCCAAACTACGGCCTGTACTGGTCAGGCCGCTCGACGAGGAGGCGCGTGGTATGGCTTGGTTTTGCCTGGAAGCGAAGCGGGGTAGGTAATTCACGCTCTGACTCTCGTCCAGCCCGAGCCTTGCCTGGGCCACCGCGGCCCGCGGCCGCGCGCCCCGGGCTGCGGCGGCCGTCCTCGCCGCGACCGGGCGGGCTGGGCCCGCAGCGAGGGCCATCGCCTTCCGGGGGCGCAGAGGGCCGGGGTCGGTGCACGCACGGGGCAGACTGAAGGGGCCCCAGGACACACAAATAAATACACACAAATAAAAATATTCCCTATATTTTCCCAGATTTTCTGGGTTTCTGTCTTCCCCCCCACTTCCCATAGTTTCCCATATTTTCTGAGGAATCGAAGATGAATTGTGTCTGTGTGTTTTTTCCCCTCCTGACAGACGGGCCCTGCTGGGTCCTGCAGGACCCGGCAGGACCCTGCGGGATCCTGCGCGCAGGCCCGGGCCACTGCAGCCCTGGCTCTGCTCTGCGGGAGCCTGCAGGGTCCGGCGCTCTGGGTGGCCCCCCGTGTGCACCGACCCCCGTCTCAAGGCTCAGCCTTCCGGACCCGCACGCGGCCGGCGGCGTCCACCTCGAAGCGGAAGCACTCCGTCGTCCTGGAGGGCGCTCTCTGCTTTCTGGCTTCGCTGGGCCCAGGGCTACAGCTTGCTTTTGTCTCCTCGGAATGGGGTAGTGAGCGGAAGGAGGGCGCTCGAGCCCCGGGGAGGGGTCAGAGGGGGCGGCGGGGGGCGCGGACTTCTCAGAGGGCTCAGCAAGCCTCCTGCCTCCCGAGGGGTCGTCGGAGCCCTCTCCGGCTGCCCCCTCTTGCTTGCCCCGCCGGCTCGCTGCCGATCTAGACTCCGGCAAGCTTGCCTGCTTGGCATTTCGCCCCCGCTTCCCTCTGGCCTTGACAGCTGTCCACAGGAGCTATTCCAAGGCTCCATCATGTCCCCAGAGGCTCCCAAGAGGCCCAAGAGACCCAAGAGGCCCAAGAGACCCCGAAGAAACCCCTCAGAGGTCCCTCTGCATACCACCAAGGGCCTCCCACACGGACGTGCAGTGCTCCCGCGAGGCCCTCAACAGGCCCCAATGCAATTACGTATTTGACGAAATCTCCGCAGCACTGCGCCGCGGCGCTGGAGCGGCGGGGCGGACTGCCGCAGGCAGCCGGATGAGCAGTCAGCCATAGCTGCCCTGAGGTCTGAGAGGACTTCTCGGATCGGCGCCTGGCGCCCCTCCCTGGTGCGAGGAGCGCGACAAGGCCACCGAAGGACCGATTCATGTCATCCGCAGGGGCCTCCCTGTCGTACTGGGCGCGTGCGACCGCACGCGACTAGAGGGACAGAGGCACACGCTTGTACTCAGGCATCGCGTTGCATCTGACAGTCATCGTCAGCGGCTCGACATGGTGCGTACATGTACTTCTCACGTTTTGTCCAACAGTGACTTTGGGCCAGTGCTTTGGACTCGTGCGCGAGACTTGTGAGATGGACGGATCGAAGCGTTCCATCGTGGCGGCAGGCATAGAGAGTACAGCTCTGAGAGCTGCACACGGGGAGAAAAGGAAGGCGGTCTCCTGGGGCCGACCCCCAGCGCGCCCTCCACGGACAGGTCCTCTTCGCCCTCCCGCTTCAGCACGGCGCGGAACCGCACGGCGCGCTGGGTGCCGCGCTTCTTGTACAGGTGAGCGCGAATGCTGTACGTCCCTGCGGGGGGGCTCTCCCAAAAGATATTTTCCACAGGCTCTTCAACGATGCTGCCGTCCCTCGCATGCATGTCGACGTCGAGGACGCCGCCGGCGCCCTGCTTGTTGCGGAAGAAGACGTGCGCGGAGCTGCCATCAGCCAGAGTGGCATGGGCGTGGAGGTCGAGGTCACTGGGGTCGTTCCAAGCTAGGGAAGCAGTGACAGCCCCCGACTTCGCCTGCTCGCGCTGCAGCCGAGAGTTGAGGTTGTCGTCGGAAATGCCGGAAGAGCCCCTCCTGAGCAGGGCCATGGCTTCACTGGACAAGGATGAGCGCCCGCGGGCTTCGGCGCTCCTGTCAGCACACCCAGGCAAAAAACGGTCGAGCTAAAAACTGCGAGTCGCCGACCCCAACAACAGACCACATGGACTCGCGCCGGAGCCGAGAGATCGACCACTGTCACGCCTGGGCACCTGCCTGGTCTTGCGCTGCTCTCTATCTCGGCGGTGGACAAACCTCCCTTTGGTAGACCTCCCCTCAATGAAAACGGCCTGGGACCGACACCGACGGACCTGGACCCGCAAAAATGACGACCGCGACGCCCTCTCGCGAACCGAAAACGGCCAATTCCTTAATCGACGTGTCAGGGTATGAGGTCTATCCACCTCCGACTATCGCGCGCGCCCACTCCCCTCCCCTCCTTTTCGGCCCCTCCCCTCCTTTTCGGCGCGTCGGATCCCCGGGCTCCCTCGGAGCCCCTCTCTGCGATCCGCTGCTCCCTCGCGCGCCCGGCGCGCCGCGCCGCCCCCCGGGCGCCTGCCCATGCACGCGCGGGCGCCCTCTCAAGCCACACGAAGCCAGGGCCAAGAGATGCCAGCGGGCGAGGATGCATCGAGACTCTCTCTGAGACCCGGCGGCAGCTGGAGGGCGTACTCGGGCGCCGCGGCCTCAGAGCGTTCCGGCACGCTCTGAGGGCGTCCCGGAACGCTCTGGAACGGAGTGGTCCTCGTCCTGGCCACGTCCGACGTGAACCCCCCTTTGGACGCGCGAAATGGGCACGGAAAGAATGGGTATATAGCACCCCGCAATTGCGGATAAGAGTGAGGGGGCGGGCGCGGGCGACGCGGGCGTCGTCAAGCCGGCGGACCTCGTGGCCCCCACCTTCCTTGTCGATGGCGCTCTCCTCCTCCTCCTCCTCCTCCTCCTCCTTCTCCTCCTCCTCCTCCTCCTCTAGGAAGCTGGGCGAAGGCTGCTAAAACCGTGGCTGCTAAAACGGCCCTCCCGGAAGGAAAAAACAACTTCCCGGAATGAGGCGCGGCACGCGAAACAGTCAACGGGCTTCTTCCCGGAAGGACGAAGACAACTTCCCGGAGGTCGATTTTAGCAGCCACGGATATAGCAGCCCTGGCCCGGCTTCCGATCCTCCTCCTCCTCTTCCTCCTCCTCCTCCTCCTCCGCCTCCTACTCCTCCTCCTCCTCTTCCTCGTCCTCGTCCTCGTTCTCATCGTCATCGTCGTCCTCCTCCTCCACCTCGTCCTCCTCCTCCTCCTCCTCCTCCTCCGCTTCTTCCTCGTCCTCCCTCTCCCCCCCTCGTCCTTCCATCATCGTCCTCCCATTGTCGTCATGTTCCTCCTCGTCGTCCTCCTCCTCTTCCCCCCCTCCCGATCCTCCACCCTCCTCCTTTTCGTCGTCGTCGTCGACGTCATCGTCGTCGTCCCCTCCCTCCTCCTCCTCCTCCTCCTGCTGCTCCTCCTCCTTCTCCTGCTGCTCCTCCTCCTCCTCCTCCTCCTCCTCCTCCTCCCCCTCCTCGTCCTCCTGCAAAAGCAGCCCGCCGCAGGCGCCGAAAAAATTGGTTTGTACACTGAACGTGGTTTGGGTCGCGGGTGGGCCGCGGGTTCTCCACCGGGAACGAATGCAAAAGATGCTCGCCGCAGGCGCCGAACAAAATTGGTTTGTACCCTGAACGTGGTCGCGGGTGGGCCGCGGTCTCTCCACCTAGAACGATTCAAAAGATGCCCGCCGCAGGCGCCGAAAAATGTGGTTTGTACCCTGAACGTGGTTTGGGTCGCGGGTTGGTCGCGAGTTGATCGCGGGGTGGGTCGCGGGCTCTCCACCTGGAAGGAATGCAAAAAAAGCCCGCCGCAGGCGCCGAAAATGTTGGTTTGTACCTTGAACGTGGTTTGGGTCGAAGGTGGGTCGCGGGTGGGTCGCGGGGTGGGTCGCGGGAGTCGCGGGTGGGTCGCGGGGTGGGTCGCGGGTGGGTCGCGGGTGGGTCGCGGGGTGGGCCGCGGGCGGGTCGCGGGGTGGGTCGCGGGTGGGTCGCGGGTGGGTCGCGGGGTGGGCCGCGGGGTGGGTCGCGGGGTGGGTCGCGGGTGGGTCGCGGGTGGGTCGCAGGGTGGGTCGCAGGGTGGGTCGCGGGGTGTGTCGCGGGGTGGGTCGCGTCGCGGGTGGGTCGCGGGTGGGTCGCGGGGTGGGTCGCGGGTGGGTCGCGGGGCGGGTTGCGGGTGGGACGACGACAACAAACAACAACAACAACAAACAACAACAACAACAACAACACGAATCCGCACCGCGGAATCTCACTTCAGCCACGCACCCAGGGACAATGAATGACCGTTCGGCCCCCTCACTCTGACAATGCCCAACAACCAATGTTGTCCCGAACCAACAGCGGCCACTGTTGGGCAGACGGCCTTCTGTCTCAAATGGACACAGGCCGCGGCGGCGCGGACAGCGAGACCTGTTCAAAAGGAACAGGAACTGCAGTTGGGCACTGTACCCATTCTTTCCGTACCCATTTCGTTCGTGCAGACCCCCTCCTCCTCCCTCCCGGGCCCTCCTTTGCCCCGAGCCGCGGGGCCCCCTCCGGCCGCGCCTTGCCGCGTGCCCCCCCACCCCACAACAGGGGCACCCAACTTCGCGCTGCGCGCTGCGCGCTGCGCGAGGGCGCGAGGGCGCGAGACGCTCTCGCGCCGCCCCCCCACGTGAGAAAAGGAGGATGGGGAGGATGAGGAGCCGAACCGCGAAGCGCGAAGCGCGAAGCGCGAATCACTTCGCGCCCTCGAGGGCGCCCTTGCACAATTATCTGGCAGCCCAAGGCTTGCGACAGGCCGCATCTTGCTGCGGGAGTTTTCGGCTTGTGGCACAATTGACGAGGTCGACGCGAGGCACAGGGGCACTCTCCTGCGCCCCCCCAACTCCTCCCCGATGTCCCGTTCCTCTGCGCGCCCCTCCCTGCCAAACCCTTATCCTGCTCCCCTCCCTGCGCCCCAAGCCCCTTGCAGAGCTCGTCAGCGCTTGCTTCTCTGGCCCCTGCCCCCTTCTCCTTCGGCCCCCCCCCCTCCCTTCCCCCAACACCCTGGCCCGTGCCCTCATCAAATTTGCCTTCACCCCCATCCCACCGACTCCGCTGGCCCTTCCCGCATTTCACCACGCAAGGCATTTGTGGCAAGTTCGAAGGCCCGCTTGCGATAGCAAGGTTGTGAAATGTCTTGCTGGACTGCTGTCGTATGGTATTCGTGTCTTGTGCGTTCGCCCTCTTGTCTCTCTAGTCCTGTCTACACTCACTGTCTACTATGTAGTGGGCCCGTGACATAGAAAAAACTCGACGATGCCCCTTAGTCTACTGGGTGCTTGAAGTTGCCACACGATTCCCATAGGGACGCCAACAGACAGCCAGGAGGCATCAGAGGGCTCAAGAACTTGACTTATGCTGCTTGTTACCTACAGTTTAACTCTGCGCGATGGCACCTCCAATGGCATCTCCCCAATAACCATCCCCACTGGTGGAGGACGCTCCCTCGCAAAACGCGACATGCAACGCATAGCCTTCTGCACGAGCTGTCGGCCACGCATTTGATTGGTAGCGCGAAAGCGCTACGAAAGGCAACGGCACACAAATTGGCCAGTGGACACACAGGGGTTGAGGACGACATGCTCCTTTCCCCCACCCCCTACACGAAGCGAATGGCATCCATGCACAAATTCCTCTCAGAAATCAACGTCCAGCGCGAAACCTCTGGCTTCTTCTCCCGAGGCGTTGGTCGAGGACATTACCCCAGCTTTCTGGTAGTCGCCGACGCGCTTCTCGAAAAAGTTCGTCTTGCCCTGCAACGAAATGAGCTCCATCCAGTCGAACGGGTTGGACGCCCCGAACAACTTGGAATGGCCCAGCGCGGTGAGCAAACGGTCCGCGACGAATTCGATGTAGCGCGTCATGAGGTCGTTGTTCATACCGATGAGGTCACAGGACAGCGCGTCACAGATAAAAACACGCTCGGCCTCCACCGCGCCACGAACTATGTTGTGAACCACGTCCTCTGGCAACGGGTTCTGGAGCTTCCCGTAAAGCAAACACGCGAACTCGGTATGCAGGCCTTCGTCCCGTGAGATCAGCTCGTTTGAGAACGTCAAGCCTGGCATAAGCCCGCGCTTCTTCAGCCAGTAGATCGCACAGAACGAGCCACTGAACAATATTCCCTCGACAGCCGCAAAGGCAACGAGCCGCTCGGCGAAGCTGTTCTCCTGGTTCATCCACTGCACTGCCCACTCCGCCTTCTGCCGGATCGCTGGCATGGTATGGATAGCATCGAAGACCATCTCCTTTTCAGCTGGATCCTTGATGTACTGCTCGATCAAGAGAGAATACGTTTCGGAATGGATGTTCTCCATGGCCATCTGGAAGCCGTAAAAGGCACGAGCCTCTGGTGACTGGACTTCTGTGGTGAACTGGGCGGCCAAATTTTCCAGCACGATCCCGTCCGAGGCGGCGAAGAATGCGAGCACGTGCTTGATGAAATGCCTCTCGCTGTCTGCCAGAGTCTCCCAGTCCCGTAGGTCCTGCGAGAGGTCGATCTCTTCCGCCGTCCAGAAGGATGCCTCGTGCTTCTTATACATCTCCCAGATGTCGTGGTGCCTGATGGGGAACATCACCCAGCGCTGAGAGTTCTCTTGCAGGAGAGGTTCGGACTTCTCGAGCTCACGGTACTCGGCAGAGACGCGGCTGACCGAGGCCGTCGTGGCAACTGGGGTCGACAGAGCCATCCTTCGACACACGGGCCTTCGGGGTTCCAGCTGCGGGCCGACGGGGACCAGAGAGCCGAAATGGCCTGGGCCAGAATGGCTATGACCCGAGAGCAGCGAGTAATGAAGAAGCCCACTGTGTTGTATGGTCAACGCAGTTTGCCTGTCCCCTGTGCTGCTCATCGGATATCATCAACAAGGTCCCCCCCAAAGCCTCCGACACTGGTCAACACTGCGCTCCGGCACACCCCAAAGAGGTCCGCTGGTTGGGCTCCAGAAGCCCCAAGATAGCCACAATATTCCCAACATGTCCAATGACCCAAGAGGCCCCAAGATGCCCCACAGCGGATCCAAGCTAGCCCAAGACGGCTCCGAGTGCCCCGATAAAGCCCTCAGGATGGCTCAGCCTGGGGCCCGTACGCCAAAATGCCTAATAGGCTCCCAAGAGGTCCCAAAAATGCCTTCAAGATGCTTCCCAAACAATCCCGACAAGCCACCAGAAGGCCTTTGGTCCACAACCCAGGCACGGTGACTGGGTGGGCGGAAGACCACCAGACAACTCCTCCTGCCCCGACATCTGACGATATGAGTTGTTTGCTTCAACCCCAAAACATCAAAACCAACACAAAAATAATTTCAAATAAAGCTCCAAGATCGGGCGGCTCCGGAAAATGTCTCGCCCGCCGCGGGCTTCTCAGAGAGTGGACGCTCTGAGAGCGGTCCGGAACGCACTGGAACGGATTGATCCTCGTCCTAGCCCCATCCGATCCTCCCCCAGACCCACACCCCCGACGTGGTGATTTTTTCAAAACGTCGACCCCCAAAAAATCTGGACCCATTTCACGGGAAAGGATTTTCATCCTGAGTCGTTCTGTTCTCCTCCTCCGCCTCCTCCTCCTCCTGCTCCTCCTCTTCCTCTTCTTCCTCCTCCTCCTCCTTATCCTCCTCGTCCTCCTCCTCCTCCTCCTCCTTCTCCTCCTCCTCCTCCTCCTCCTCCTCTTCCTTCCTCCCCCATTCCTCCTCCTCCTCCTCCTCCTCCTCCTCCGTTCCTCATCTCCTCCTCCTCCTCCCTCCTGCTCCTCCTCCCCCTCATCCTCCTCCTGCTCCTCCTCCTCATCGTTCTCCTCCTCCTCCTCCCCCTCCTCCTCCGCCTCCCCATTCCTCCTTCCTCCTCCTCTTTGTCCTCCTCCTCCTCGTCCTCTTCGGAAAGGTCTTACAGCATGTGCTTCACACTGGGGAATACTGAACACGTATGTGTGTGTATGATGTGTGTGGTGTGTGTGCGTGTGTGCGCATGTGTGTGTTGGTGTATGTGTGTGCGTGCATCTGTGTCTGTGTGTCTGTGTGTCTGTGTGTGTTGTGTGTTGTGTGTTGTGTGTTGTGTGTTGTGTGTTGTGTGTTGTGTGTATGTGTGTATTTGTGTGTGTGTGCGTGTGCGTGTGCGTGTGCGTGTGCGTGTGCGTGTGCCTGTGCGTGTGCGTGTGTGGGCGCGTGCGCGTGTGCGTGTGCGTGTGCGTGTGCGTGTGCGTGTGCGTGTGCGTGTGCGCGTGCGTGTGCGTGTGCGTGCGCGCGTGCGCGCGTGTGCGCGTGCGCGCGTGCGCGCGTGCGCGCGTGCGCGCGTGTGCGCGTGTGCGCGTGTGCGCGTGTGCGCGTGTGCGCGTGTGCGCGTGCGCGCGTGTGCGCGTGCGCGCGTGTGCGCGTGTGCGCGTGTGCGCGTGTGCGCGTGTGCGCGTTTGCGCGTGTGCGCGTGTGCGCGTATACGCGTGAGCTTACCGCCCTCTGGACTTTTCCTTGCGGGCCGCGAATCAACAAGTGTGCGCGTGAGCGCGTGAGCGCGTGTGCGCGTGTGCGCGTGTGCGCGTGTGCGCGTGTGCGCGTGTGCGCGCGCGTGCGCGCGCGTGCGCGTGCGCGTGCACGCGCTCTTGTGCTATTGTGCTCTTGTGCTCTTGTGCTCGTGTGCACTTGTGCTCGTGTGCTCTTGTGCTCTTGTGCACTTGTGCTCTTGTGTTCTTGTGCTCTTGTGCTCTTGTGCTCTTGTGCTCTTGTGCGTGTGCGTGTGCGTGTGCGTGCGTGTGCTTGTGTGTGTGTCTGTGTGCGCGTGCGCGTGTGCGTGTGCATGTGCGTGCGCGTGCGCGTGCGCGTGTGCGTGCGCGTGCGCGTGCGCGTGCGTGTGCGCGTGCGTGTGCGTGCGCGTGTGTGTGTGTGTGCTTTGCGTGTGCGTGTGCGTGTGCGCGTGTGTGCGTGTGTGCGTGTGTGCGTGTGTGCGTGTGTGCGTGTGTACGCGTGTGCGTGTGCGTGTGCGTGTGCGTGTGCGCGCGTGTGCGTGTGTGCGCGTGTGCGTGTGCGTGTGTGCGTATGTGCGTGTGTGTGCGTGTGGGTGTGCGTGTGCGTGTGCGTGTGCGTGTGGGTGTAGGTGTGTGCGTGTGCGTGTGTGCGTGTGTGCGTGTGTGATTGTGTGCGTGTGTGCGTGTGTGCGTGTGTGCGTGTGTGATTGTGTGCGCGCGTGCGCGCGTGTGCGCGTGTGCGCGTGCGCGCGTGTGCGCGTGTGTGCGTGTGCGCGTGTGCGCGTGTGTGCGTGTGTGCGTGTGTGCGTGTGTGCGTGTGTGCGTGTGCGTGTGCGTGTGCGTGTGCGTGTGCGCGTGCGCGTGCGTGTGTGTGTGTATGTGTGCGTGCGTGCGTGCGTGTGTGTGTGTGTGTGTTGCACTGCTTCCCTCCCCGACCTCCTGCTCCGCCCCCTCCTCGATCCCCCTCTTGTTTGTAAGTGTCCTTTCCCTCCCCCTCCTCCTCCTCCTGGATCGAATCCCCTCTCCTCTTCGTCCGCCCCATATATTTCCTGAGACATGCCTCCTCCCTGTCGCACCTCCATGCGTGACGGCAGAGCGGGCAGGGCGTTTCGCCTGAAACGTTCTGAGAACGTCTGGCCCCGACACTTTGAAGTTGCACACGCTTCACGGATTGAGGGCGGGCCGCATTCAAAATGCGACTCTCGCAGTAGCGCCGCACACATTGGTCTTACACATTTGCAGCACTTTCGCGGACGGAGGACGGGTCATCTTCAAAACGAGTCTCTCGCCTGAACGCCGCGCACAATCGTCTTGAACGTTTGCAGCAATGTCACTGGCGGGTGGCGAATTGCTTTCAACATGTGGCTCTCGCCTGAGAGCCGCGCACATTCGTCCTAAAAGTTTGCAACGTGTCAAACGGATGGAAGCCTGATCGTCTTCAATGGCTCCAGCCCTAGAGCCGCGCATATTTTTTTTTCTTTCAAAATGGAGGGAGATTAAGATTCAAGTGTGGATCTGGATTTAGTGTCGCGTGCATTCCTCTTAAGCGTTTGTAACAGCTTCAAGGATTCGTTTGGTTGAAACCCCAGGAATGGTATCATGGTAAGATTGAGGGTTGTCAGGAAGCTGCAGTCAAGTTGATTTGCTGTTGAAGTCCCAGGAATGGCTCTCTGGCACAATTGATGGTTGTCATGGCTCGCGGCGCTGAAGTCCTAGGATTGGCGTTTTGCCACAATGGAGGACTCTCAAACGGATGTCTTCCAATGGGTCACTCCCCGCAATGATAATACATTATCATGGGGACCTATTGAAAGGGAACTTGGAGGGAAGGTCTATTGCAACATCGCTGATGCGTCGTGGGTGTGCGCTGGTATTCCTCCTCCTCCGACGTCGTTATCGTCTCCGTTCGCGTTGCTGCGTTGAGTCATCTGTCGTAGCTGTCGTCGGCGTTGCCGTGCCGTTTGACGTCCTCGCCGTCGTCTTGCGCATTCGTGTCCGTCGTCGTCCGTGGCCGCCCTCTTCTCTGCGTGGACCTCGTGCCCCTACGCAGGCGCGAGCAAGGCCAACCTAGAATCCGAGAGTCCCCCAAGTAATCCTTTTCCTTCTCCTCCTCTCGGGCCGGGCGAAAGGGGGGGATAGCACGGTAGGGGTTGAGAATCAGCTCACGTAGCTGATGTTCCCGGCGCCTCTCGGCGCTGGAGGCGGCCACGCATCAAGGAATGGGCCCCTCGCTGGGGCCGAAACCAGCTGCATGCAGCAGATTTCGTTAACCCCTCCTTTCCCAATCCTACCCTTTCGCCCGGCCCGATCCTCCGAGGAGGAAGGGGCGAGCAAAGCGCGCCGGGGCGGCGGCGGGAGGCGCCTCTGTGTCTCCACGAAGAGCTTCTGCGCCGGCAGCAGCAGCGAAGCGTCGCCTTCGGCTCCCCCTCCCCCCCGGCGGACCCAGGGAAAGTTCTCCTCCTCCTCCCCCTCCTCCGCCTCCTCCTCCTCCTTCTCTTCCTCCTTCTATTCAACAATATCCTCCTCCCTCTCCTCCTCCTCCTCCTGTTCAATCTCCTCTCCTCCTCCTCCTCCTCCTCCTCCTCCTCCTCCTCTCCTCCTATTTCTCCTCCTCCTCCTCTTCCTCCTCCTGTTTGATGCTCCCCTCCTCCTCGATTTCCTTTCTATCTCGCCCCGCTGTCTGCCTCTCCAGGCCCTCCTCCTAGATCTCCTCCCCCTCCTCCTGGAGATCCTCCTCCTCGATCGGCCAGGAGAAGCGTCCCAAGAGGCGCCCTCCTCTCATCACCCTCGACCGCCCTCCTCCAGCGCGGGCCCGCGGCGGAACCTGCACGTCGGATAGAGCTGGATCCATCAGGACCCTTGTTTGTCCGCCGCGGTGACCCGCCAGATCCGCCCAGAATCTAGAGGAGAAGGGGGCAGCATAAACAATCCCCTTCGGAACTCAGCGCGGATTTCTTGGATCTGCGCTGGGGCCCCCTACGTGGCGCGCGGAGCGCAGGGGCTGCGCCAGAGGCGCTGCCAGAAGGGCC